CCAAATTCTGAGGCTCCTTTATTCGCGTTAAATTCAACTCTACTCTGTCCTTCGGCTTGCCTTTACAACCATACGGGTTTCTTATCTTCCTTTTATATCTTCCGGATGCCTCTTCTTCAGTTTCATCGCATGATGCCCCCACTATCTTCTGAATTTTTGTATCCGCTTGTTCAGTATGCTCATCCGAAGATTCCTCGTCACTGTCGTCCGTCTTACCTTGAGCGATAGTCTTCGAGCGCGTTTGAATCGGCTCAGTTCTTGTCCATTGTTTCTTGTGACGTTTTTCCTCGCTTCGTTGTTGAACATCGGTCTGTGCATTGTCTGATCCTTGCTCCTCTTCCGAAGATTCGGCGTAAGGAGACTCGAACAGTATCTGATTTGTTGTATTCTCTTCCGTGTTGTATCCAAGCTTGGTTTCATCGAATTTTACATGTTTTGTTTGGATAATTTCCTTCTTCTCGATATCCCATAAGCGATAGCCTTTAGTTTGATTGGAATATCCGACGAGGACACATCTGCGAGCCCGAGGATCCAGTTTCCTTCTTCCTTGATGAGATAGATGTGCGTAGGCTAAACATCCATATGCTCTAAGATGCCTTACGCTTGGTGGCCTTTCATTCCATATTTCCTCCGGTACTCCTTCCTCTAAGATAGTGTGAACCATTCTGTTTCGTACATAGGCCGCAGTACTCGTAGCTTCCGCCCAGAAACACGATGGCATCTTTGCTGACGTTAACATTGATCTAACTAAGTCCATCAGTGTTCGATTAACACGTTCGGCTACTCCGTTCATTTGAGGAGTTTCAACACATGACCTTTCATGCTTGATGCCTAATTTATCGAAGAACATCTGCAATTCCTTATTGCAATACTCGAGTCCATTATCTGTTCTGAAACGCTTTATTTTTAAATCTTTATCTCTTTCGACCTTGGTTACAAAATTTTTGACGTTATGAACTACCTCATCTTTACTTTTCAAGAAATAAACTGTAATTTTTCGAGAGTAATCGTCTATTAATGTTAATACGTATCTTGAACCACCCATGGATTTAATTGGCATGGGGCCGCACAAATCAGAATGGATTAGTTCCAATATGCCTCTTGTTTGACGTCCTTCGATACGCTTGCACGGTACTTTAGTTGATTTCCCGATACAGCAACCATGACAAAGATCTGAATTTACCTTGTGAAAATCTAGTCCGCGAACAAATCCCTTTTTCTTTAGCGCTTCTATACTTTTATTATTGATATGACAAAACCGCCGATGCCATAAGTCTCTTTCTGCCATACTTGTGTTGTGTAGCTTAATTATATCTTGACTCTTAGGATTTATTACATCCGCTTGGACTATATAGAGATTATCCAATCTGCGAGCTTCAATTATTCGTTGACTCGTTCTTCCATCCATGACGCGAGCCATACCGTTCTTGAACTCCAGCTTTCTACCTTTCTTCTCTATTTGGGCCACTGACATCAGATTTCTACGACATTTGGGAACATAATAGACATTCTGTAGCAGTATTTCACAACCCGTGTGATTATTTCTGACTCGTAATTTTATGTTGCCGATTCCTTCCGCAGTTAATGATCCTTCGCCTTCGTAGACTGCCGCTTCCGCTGTGCTGATGGGTTCGGGTTTGATTTTCTTTAGATTTTCAAACCATTCTTCGTGTCTGCAAACGTGATGTGTCGCAGCGCTGTCCATCAACCATGCATCGTCCAACATGGCACAATTTACATCCGTAAACAAAGCGATCTGTTTGTGTTTAGTGGTATCGCTTTTATCATTCTTTTTCTCCTTGGTTCGGCAATACTTCGCGAAATGTCCTTGCTTTCCGCAACTAAAACATTTTCCAGACTTATTATGTTTTTCAGATGCATTCGACTTACCTTTTTTCGTCTGATATGCAACGATCTCGTGTTTTTGCTGCTCATCTTCGCATTTAGACATTCGTCTATCATGTTCCATAGTTAACGCCTTCCTTACTTCAACCGAGGTAAATTTCTCGTCCTCCAGGCTTGCGAGCGTCATTGTGAGAGCATCATAGGTTTCAGGAAGACCAGAAAGCATAGCGTATGCCAAATCTTCATCCTTGACTTCTGCGCCTGCCTCGCGCAGATAATCTGAACAGATTTTTAGCCGACTTAAGTATGATTCCATGTTCTCGTCGTCTTTTAGCCGAATTCGGACGAATTGCCTTTTTAATTGCATTATTCTCTGTCTCGATTTTGGTTCATATATTTCCTCAAGCACCGACCATGCTTGTCGGGCTGTTTCGCAATGTACTATATGAACCTGCTGATCCGGGTCTATCGACAACGCAATCGTCGACAACGCCTTTTCATCCTTTGACGTAAATCTTGTCTTTTGTTCGACCGTAGCATCATTTTGCAACGTAGCGGATCCGTTTACATAATCCCACAACTCTCTTTGTATTAGCAACATTTTCATCGCAAATTTCCATGTTCGATAATTATTGCTATTTAGCCTATCGACTCGATCGAACGCGTTTATGCTCGCCATTTTTAGGTATGCTTGTACTTGCGTGTGTACGTGTGTGCGCAGCAGGAACGTTCTGGGCCCATAACCTTGTTGTGGGAATGCGATGATATTACCAAATAATGAGAGCTGGTTATTACGTATGCAAGTGACAAAGTAAGCCTTTATTCAGGTAATATATATAGTATAGGCTTCGTTATACAAGTGTATTATACGGTGAACAAATATAATGAAAAGAATGGATCGCTGCCTTTACTGTCTGGCATGTCGAGACTGACTAACCTTTCTCTACAGACGGCACGGAAACGACCGACGAGACAAAACAAAAACGCAACGCGTATATCGCACGGCAACGAACAAAAATCTCCGCGAAAATTCAAACTCTTATCATTCAGTTAGCGTTTTTCCAGGATAAGATCTCATCGTATAGTTAATTAACTGAAAAGCCTCATCAGCTACCAACACATACGGCATCAATTCTCCATTTTCGACGATTGGACAAGGTGCCGGTACATGAATCGCATTTGCTGCAAATAATTTCCCCATAGCTGAATTTTTAAAAACGCCACCATCACTGTGACGACCCTCCGCCCCAATGTCCACGAGAAGAAATTGATAAAATGCTGAAGCTATTGCCATCAAGTTAATACTGTGACATCCTTTATAATTGTAAAATGTCGATCCGGATTCTGGTGGCGCCTAAAAATGTAATATAAATATTTTTTAAACGTTAATTTGTGACAGTTATTGCACTAGCAGAAATGGTTTTAACAAAATTTTGAACCAGAAAAGTTTTTAGTAATGATTTTCCTTATAGAAAACACACTCCATTTTTAGTGTTAACATAAATTGAGTGTTTTTTCATAAGGGTTATTATTGTTTACGTTGATTTTATGTCTGTACCTTTATAGTTACATGCTTTCCATCAATTGCTCCAATACAATGTGGAAAATTCCACCGATCATTAAATTCCTTTGCCACTTTTTTCCAATTGTCTTCGGATGGAACAAACATTTCGCTTTGCAAAACATCCCATAAACATTGACAGGTTTCGGAGATGATGGTTGAAGCTGTACTGTATCCAATGCGGAAAGCATATGCTATGGAAGTCATGCTATCACCTGTGGCTAAGTATCTAGAAATAATTAAACATTCTATTAGTGCACATTCATATGCAATAACTCTTACTTTGTTGGTTCTAGATAGTTACTATGTGTGCACATAACATTTATAGATCTTTAAATAACTTACCTTAATGTCAAGTATAATCTTGTACGAGATGAAATAGGTTCTCTAAAATTTGTTGTCATCTTTTGTATTAAAGGCCCAACAAGACTAAGTAGATAGTCGAAACCCTGAATACTCATTCTACAGTAATTTACGTGGACATCTACATCTAGAAATCTCATTTCGTTAATTACATTTTCGCCATCACCTTGTTCATCGGCGTTGATTAATGGGCCGAACCCACCAGCGTCGTACCGATCTACTGTTCGCCTCTTTATTGGCC